AAAAAAAAAAAAAAAAAAAAAAAAAGTGTCCCCATGCCCAGCATGCATAAGGAGAGAGACGTTGAAAGAGAAAAAAGTGAGTTGGGAGACAAAAGCCCCCTAGAAAGTGTCATGTTTTTGCTGAGTGACTACACATGAAGCATGCTTAATACTAGAGGCTCATGTGTAATGAAGCTGTGAAGACAACTGTTTTTAAACTTCTTTGGGATGTACTGAGTAGCACTGTAAAAGAAACTTTTTGAGGATGGACTGGTTACAACATCATGAATGGGATGAACGAGCAGTGGATTATCATTCTTGTGGTATGCTTGGTGCTAGGGAGAGAAAGAACCAGCGGTGCTTTCAAAGGAAAGCCACACTTACAGTTGCTGAAAAAGTCCCATAATGTTCTAGCTCTCTGCTGGTGTAAATTAATAGATGCAGACGATGAACATAGTTTCATTGATGTCAGTAGTCAATTACAGGGAGAAAAATGATTGTTTAAGGGTGTTTTGCACTGACCAACACCATCTTATTGCTGGCTTTTGCCATGTTAAAGAGATATTTTGTGCACTGATCGGGAAAAAAAAAGTTGATAAGAAAAAAAGGAAGAGATTTTGATTATGAGGCACTCGCATCTATATTGATTTTTTTTTTACATTTAAAGCTTCATGCGGATGTAAATCCATAGCTTACTTCAAGTCCATCTAAATTGAAATTTACTCAGCACAAAACCAAAACAGACCCCACAGCATTAAAACTTAGCAGAAAAAGGCTTTTTGCTGTGCCATTAACTTCAAGAAAAACAATTTGATCATATGTAAAGAAATACTACTTACATAAGCATTATCAGTATTGCTAAGCATGTCTTCCTCGGCAGAAAGGTCATCCATAAACTGGCTTACAGAAATTGGCACGTAGCTCTGAGGAATAACATGACCAGCAGCTGCAATCGGAGAACAATCCAGTATCGCATTGCTCTGAGGTATAAGCCTAAACGCCAGTGATGTCCTACAAGATGTAGCTGTACAGCTCAGTAATTGAGTAAAACAGAAAATTCCCCTAGCAACAACTTAAAATCTCTACAACCAATGTCACTACCTTCCACCACAAGCAGTGCCCACATAGTTATCAGCTGCACCCCTGTATAAAGCTGCAGGACGAAGGCCGGCGGTAGCATGGCTGAGAGCCTTACCAGTAAGCAATAGTAAATCCCCAGGACTCAAGCCACTATCTGCTAGATACCAACGACCATTTGGATCACAAACCTAGGGATAAAGAAGAAACAAACAAGGAAAATGATTGATGGCACAAAGAATCCAGAAAAGAAGTGTTTTATAACGAGGAGTCAGAAAAGAAGTCATAATGTATTAGTTGGAAGCTATGCACAATCCAAAACTCAAACTAAAGATCTGGAATTAACAGGAATACCTGAAGACCAGAAGCATCAGATGAAATTAGTGTCAACAGCCCCTTCTCTACTTCACCATTTGTGACTTGCTTCCCTCCACCAATAGCTCCCTTCCCATTTTGAGAGGTGGTACTGGAGAAGGTTGCAACAAGAACGGACGAAGAGGCCTCATTAATGGGCAACGGATTATCATCAAGCAAGTGATCGAAAACACTGCAGAGCACGACGTGTTTGGTCAGAATCACATTTTAGACATAAAGAGGATTTGAATGATATGATAAAGCCTAAACAAAGTTCCTTACTCGCTTCGCAAACGAAGGTGCCTTGCGATTGCACTTAAAGAAGCACGAGCTGCCCTTCCCATGCAACGGAAAACTTCAGTCATGCATGGGGGAGAAGAGTCCATGTCTTCTAAAGGCCTAACACGTAAGAAGCTGATTATCAAATCTTTAATCCCATAAGGAAAAGCTTCTAACATCTAACCTTAAATTTGAGGAGAAGTTTGAGACTAACAAAATCAAACTAGACAGTCTTAGAAATAGCAAGAAAGTACTCAAATTCAAATAGAGGAAACCTTTAAATCGTTGAGTTCAGCATAGGGGAACTGCTGAACTGTGTCGCAAGCTAACAGTCCATGGGTTTAGGTACTTTCTATCGTTTCGAGCAAGTAAAAATGGATATATTTTCTACAGTTTTCACTACATTGGTTTTTAGATACATCATGGAGATCTCTCCTCGATATTCATATTCTTCCAACATTGTACTGACGGGGTATATAATTTAAACACAATTAAGAAGAATTACATTTGCTTCTAGTCTTTACCTTCCTGCCCTGTATATATAAACCCCACGACCACTCTTGCTACCAGTGCCGGCCCCACCATTCTGAGCTACCGCCCTCGTCTTAAAAAAATACCTGACTGACTCCAGCCCACACCGTAGGACCGCCGTGCCTTCACTGCCGAGCTCAATCACGGCCGCGTTATGCCGCATAAGCGATCCTGAGAGGGCCTCCACGGCCCGCAAATAAGGCCCAACCGGAGCTCCATCGTAAGGTGCAATATCGGAGAGCTTAACACGGGCCAAAGGCGGCAGCCCAAGTTCTACCCCAGGCGGCCCAATTACATGGTCCCGACCTAAAGAAAGTGGTGAAGGTGAAGGAAATTGAGTAGTAGCAGTGTTGGGGGATCTAAGAGTGGGTGGAGGAGTGGGATTGATTGGGTGTGGTGAGGGTGCAGTGGACTGATGGTGATGGTGATGGTGATGCTGATGCATCATGATCATAACCATCGATCATTTCCGTATGTGCAGAAGCACTGTGTGTGTGTGTGAGAGAGAGAGAGTTGAATTAGGGTTCATGTAGTTGGAAAGATGAATTTCGTAGCTGGAGAACTCTGGAAATGGGAAATTGTTGAGATTTGTTAAAGGAAAATTTGAGAGGTTTTTGGCTGCAGAAAACTTGAAATGGCTGACAGTGGTAAACAAGACGAAACTGTTCCTCTTTTGAGTTCTTTTTCCTTTCTTTTTTCCGCCTAATATTTAGTACCCGCATGCTATAAGTGGGCGTTTGGACATAACAATCCTAAAATTTGAAATTTAGATTTGTGTTTGGACATTAATATAATTTTAGGTTATTTTTGAAGTTTTGTGATTAATTTGAGCGAGAATTTTAAAAAACAATTTTTTGGAATTTTTTAAATTTTTAAAAATTTCCAAAACGCATATTCAAGTAAAAATTAGAATTATTATGAACAAACGCTGATTTAAAAAAAAGTGAATTTTTTTTGAAAAAAGGGAAAAATTCTTATGTCCAAACGGGCTCTAAGAGTCCGTTTGGCTATAAAAAATTTCACTTTTTTTTGAATTTTTTTTACTTTTTTCGAAATTATTGTTTGACCATAAATTTGCAATTTTCACTTGAAGATGAATTTTGGAATTTCTCGAAAATTTGAAAAACTCCAAAAAGTTATTTTTCAAAATTTTCACTCAGATCACTCATAAAAATTAAAAAACAACCCAAAATTATATTTATGTCCAAACACAACTCTTATTTTCAAATGTTATTTCCAGTTGAAAAAAAATTCACTTTTTCAGAATTTTACAATTCTTATGTCCAAACGCCCACTAAATCTGAATTCAGGCTGAAAAGTCCCACAGATTGAGAATAGAGATTTTTTCTTTCCTATACCATATATGAAACCTTATTACAAAAAATGTGCATAGTTTCTAACTTACCCGCTCTGTCCACATTTTTTCTACAGTTATTATACCAATTATTAAATACTAATTAATAGTACCTGAATATTCCTAATTCGTCGTGCTAAAATTGAGAAACAGAATATTCTAAAAAGATTTGGCGTAAATCAGATCAAATCATATTCTTCCAGATATTCCTATTTAGGCGCGCTACAATTATGGAAGTAAATATTCTTCTAGATATTTTTCACCATTGATAGCCATTAAAAAGCTTGAAAACTTTGAATTCAAAATTGGGTTTTCAAAAATCATTATTTGTTTGGATTGAGTGTTGTTGAAAATAATCGGAAATATGATTTGGAGTTTATATCTCAATTTTGAGGGGTTTTGGTGAAGATTAGACTTGGTTTTGACTGCATTTCAGATTGAAACTCGGAGAAGAAGAAGAAGAAGACATATTGTAGAAATTGTAGATAAATTGTAGATTATTTGTATTCTGATTGTAGATGCATTATTTTCTGTTTTCACAAATAAAAAACGGCTAAAACTCCTACAAATCTTTTGAAAAAACGCAATTATGTCAAAAATCACAATTATGCTACAATTGGATGGGAATTGGGATATAAAAATTCAATGTACCCAGTTTGTAGATATTTTGTAGATAAATTGTAGATTATTTGTATTTTGATTGTAGATGCATTGTTTCTGTTTTCACAAATCCAAAACGACTAAAACTTCTACAAAATCTTCTGCAAAAAATGCAATTATGTCGAAAATACCAATTAAGCTACAATTGAATGGGAATTGGGATATTAAAATTCAATGTACCCAGTTTGTAGATATTTTGTAGATAAATTGTAGATTATTTGTATTCTGATTGTAGATGCTTTGTTTTCTGTTTTCACAAATCAAAAACGACTAAAACTTCTACAAATCTTCTGCAAAAAACAGTCTACAATTTATCTATAATTTTTCTACAATTTATCTACAATTGCTGCAATTCTTCTTTTTCTTCTTCTTCTTCGAGTTTCAATCTGAAATTCAGCCAAAACCAAGTCTAAATCTTCACCAAAACCCCTCAAAATTGAGATATAAACTCCAAAACATATTCCCAATTATTTACAACAACACCCAATCAAAACAAAGAATGATTTTTGAAAACTCAAATTTGAATTCAAAGCTTCAAAGCTTTTTAATGACTGTCAATGATGGAATTGCTGCTCTCTTGTCTCTTTGAAGGTTTGTTCTTCTTCATTGAGAAAATTTGAAGCTGAAGGTAAATGTGTGTATGAACTTTGAAGATTTGACTTCAATTTTGATGGACTTTGTTGTTCTTCATTGATGAACTTCAACTGGAGTAAAATGGGGAACCAACTTTGTTGAAGGGTTTCTTCAATTTTCTGTGAATTTAGAGGGAGAATTTGGTTTCAGAAGATGGAAAATGGTAAAAAGAACGTGGGTATGGGTAAAACGTGAGTGGGACTGAGGGGTTAGGAGAGAGAAACGTGCATATTCCTTTAATTAAGGAGTAAAAAATGTACAATTAATTATGGTATAAAATTGGTAATTTGGTATACTAAGTGTAATTAAGTCAAACCTTAAACATTGAGGGTAATAAGGTTTCCTATGTGACATAGGAATGTAAAAATTCCTTGAGAATAAAGCACAAGCCCAAGACATCTCATTATGAAGAATAAAAGATTATTTACCACTCGACCGCAATCTTTGTTATTTCCTCTAAACTTGCTATAAATCACTCTAATAGTCCAACGAATCCTTTTTCCTCCAAACATAAAATTACTTTAATATTGTTTTTAGCAAATTATTTTGTATTTTTCCTTACTATAAATCGTAAGTAAACTTTTGATTGTGATTTAAGATTACCTTTAAATTGAAGTTTTATTACGACCAAGAGAAAATGAGACTTTTCTTGGACAAAATATAAAATTGGCCAGTCGGCCGAAACTAATAGCATATATATATAAACTCGTTTCTATTAGTAAAGGGAAAATTTGACCCTTCTCACTTTTTTCCTTAATCCTTGATAGTAATTGCTAAAGTTGACAAGTTACCATTTTGACAATGGTAATCTTAATACTTGTGATAAGTCGACAACTAGCAACATAGTACAATAAAACTAATAGCCTATTTGGCCAATATTTTTTTTTTTAGCCAAAAATGCTTTTTTTCAAAAGTTGATATTTGGCCAAGGTTTTAAAAGGAAAAAAGTACTTTTGATTAAAAGCAGAAACATTTTTGGAGAAACAAGAAAAAGTCACTTCTCTTGATAGTAATTGCTAAAGTTGACAAGTTTACTGCTTATTGCTTGCTTCTTTTTCATTTTTCTTTGAGTATCTCTACCTTCACAACATAGGGTAAGGTCTGTGATTACCCTCCCCAGACTCCACCTACGGGATTACACTGGGTTTTTTGTTGTTGTTCGTATAAAAAACAAGTTTAATTCAAATCTTTTGCAAACAGGGGGCAAAAGGGAATACAAATGCCACTTATCAGTGCGCCTGGCAATTTCCAACATAATGTACACTTGAGAGTAAAGATCACTCTATAACTCCTCCAACATATGAAGAATTGAATTCAGAAGAATGACTTGTTTGCAGTTAGCATAAATAGCAAACAGTAACTCCCAATTTATCTTCATCTTGAGAGGACATAAGACACTTCAGATTTCGTCGCAAGATCAATAGAAGTGCTTGAGGCATTTCATTAATGCCTCAGTGTGTTCAGGCTTGCCTACAGAAACGCGAACGTATCCTTTCAGTTCTTTGCTATTGTAGTGACGGATCATCACTCCCATAGTCGCAAGGTCTTCCTGTAACACAAGTTTTTACTGTTAAAATGTAGGAGAAACAGCAATGCATTATGGACTTGCCAAGAAAGGGTGAGCATAAGGTAGTATAAGATCAGTTTACAACCATGACTTAGATCCTACTCTATAATGTTTAATTATAACTGAACCTCATTCTACCCATCCATATGTCTCTATTCGCTTTGCAGTAAAACTTATGGAACATATAATCCTTTTTATTTTTTTTTTGGTGCATTTGTTAGTAGGCAATGACAACTGATATGATACAACACTTAAAAAAACATGATACATATTGGATAGTATACAAACTCAATATTATCGTGTATATCCAACAAATGTTGTAAAACCGCTTAATATTACTTTAACTTGGGTTTTGCATAAGTTATTAAAATACTGAAATTAGTCATTAAAATTGAATATAATCAACTAGCATTCATAATCTCATATCAGCATGTTGCTTCTTAAAACGGGTCTTCCAGTTAGCCCACAAGTTCTCCTCAAATGTGTCTATCGTGCAACTTCCAACCTATCCTCGCCCACTTATTCCAGCATAATAAAGACCTCAAATACCTCATTTGCCTGCTCTCAGTAATTCTTGATACTCAGTATCTACTACCAGGGCTACATTTTCCCCACATTTAATGAAGATAAAATTCATTCATATATCTAAATATTCTATTATAGGTGATATTCATATATACAACCTTATATTAATTCACTACTTCTGCATGCTAGTATTTCGACACTCCAACTATGCTAATCCATCATACTACAATAACATAACAGAAACCACGTAGTTTGTTAAAATGCTTTTATTTGATTCGTTTCTTTAATACTTCTTTCACCTTGGTGTCAAGCTTCTAACATAGTGATGTTCAAGCCAGAATGAAAGGACATGAGGCCAATTAAACAAACGATAAATCGGAATAAAAGAAGCAACATAATTGACTTTAACAGAACGAACTTAGTGATATAAGCACATTTACCTTCAATTTCTTAGCATCCATTCCAGACGTAACCTTACAGAGAATGAAATTAGAATAGCTAGGGTATGGATCAAGAAATGGGACTTCTTTCAAGAGATTGAAGAGCCTCTCCCTCTCTTGCACCAGTGCCACTTTCACATTCTGGCATAAAATGACACAATAATCAGTGAGGCTTTCAAGAAAAAGGTATGATTTTCTTCACCTATAAAAGAGATTAGAACATTTGGGCTAAGTTAATCAACAATGATCAACGCAAATGTTCCATTTCCTAAAGCACCTCCAGATAAGTGGGATTCTTTAGTGCAGCACATGCAGCAACTTCAGCAGCAACAGACACATTATATGGTTGCTTTGCTCTCCAAAGGAATTCAATAATACTCTTTGGAAAAGCTCCATACCCTACTCTGAGTCCAGCTAAGCCTGAGGATTGGGATACCACTTGTATTAGTCAACTATACTTAATCCAAACACTCATTTAAGACACCACTTAAAAACACTAATTTCGCGAATAAAACACACTAAAAGTCTTCATTACTATTACAATTTGAGAATATGACAGGACCGATTGAGATGAGCATGTTGTAGCCACAAGTGAAAAGATTTTGCAATAATCAGCAAAAAAAAGGGCATATGGGTTTTCAAAGCACACATATTGAATATTTTCATAGATGTTAAATAAAAAAGAATGAACCTACCAGCTCTTTTGCTGAATGTGCGAAGAACAATTAGATTCTCATGCTTCTTCACCCACTTCATCTTAGACTCCATTCCAGAAAACTCAACATATGCTTCATCCAGTATTACCAATATGGGCAGATCAAGTATTTTCAACAGTGTTTCATCATCAACAATACTGTTCAATAACAAGATAAATTGTCACATTAGAACGACAACAATTAAAGGACGTTGGTATCAAAATGTATAACGGCAAACAAAGCATAAATAATAAGAAGTCAACACATAGGAAAGCGAGCAAATTTAGAAAACAAATTTCAATTGTCAAATTCCCTGAGGTGCAGAAACACATGCAAAAATCTGTAAAGAGTACAGAAAAATATGTGTAAACATATTATTTGATTATCTCAATAATAAGTTTCTAATCTTTGCTCATTTTTCTTCATAATTGCTTATAGCTACTTTCACACCAATGACGTTATTCTTTTAACTCCTTCATAAAGTGCATTAATTACATAACCAATTAACTGTTTAAACAGTATACTGTGCAGAACAACAATGTCTTCAAGCTACATAATTTAAACTAACACTAACTGATGAAAGCCTTCTAATCTCTTTTGAAGTCCATCAGAGTTATCCCAAAGAACAAGGCATAGACATAAACCATAAAGAAACCAAAAACACTACCCAACACAGTAGCAGGACACATATACTATCTTAAACAGTCACAGGTTCCCTCAGTCCAAATGCTACAGATAATTGCTACATGCACTCTTCCAAAGACCCTTCACTGATAAAAGTCATTCCAGCCAGTACAGTATTCTTGTCCACTTAAGATACCAAAAGAAGGCCACTTATTATTTTGTCCTTGCAAATGCACATGTCCATTTCAATACAAGTTTACAATTGCTACTCCTTGTTGAACTTAATATTGCTTATTGTGCCCAGTCAGCTGTAACGCAGAGATACTGTAGTCAAGGACAATACCAAAAAGACTTCTTTTTATTGGTAATAAAAAAGGCCAATTTTTCAAGGCTATAAGCTCTAGAAACTAGTAATAGTTACCTTTCACAAAATCGGCAACAAATGTTTTGGGTGTAAGTGTAATCAATCTATATAAGGCTCAAGACAGGGTAAAGAATGACCCTGGCAATAAAACGGGGAAAATGGATCAAAGAGAAATTGAAGGGAAAGAGCATTTTCGCAGGAAGGGGTGTGCGTAGAAGTTTCCGTGGAAAATGATGCTTCATCCAGAAATTACAAAGCCGCCATTTATGATGTGAAATACAAGAAAAGGATTTTTTGCCTCCATATTTACAGGGTGCAGTATAGAATTACTGGCTAACTTGAAATTCTAGCAATAATTTCCTAGTACTCATTTTCTCCTTCTCGTGGACTTAGAGAATAATGAAAAAAAGAAGAAGAGAAGGTGCAACTGAAAGTTTTGAAGATTATTTTAACTTAGACAGGAAGAACAGCAGAGAGAGACTCACAGCAGTACAGTCAAGAGAAGCAAAGTACAACCACAAAGAGAAATAGACCAGAAATACAATGCAGCAATACCTCCCATCAGGATTATTAGGCGATGTCAGAAATATGCACTTTGGTTTCTCATGTTCAACCACTTCGGCAATCCGTTCTACATCCAGGCTAAAGTCTGGGTTCCTAGGCACTGCCAGTTTGACATAGCTACAGATTAACAATTATCGATGAAAGACTCAACAATAATCATTGCATTGAAGAAAATTAGAAGCATCATTTTATTTGATTTTGCTTCCATTGTTTAAAACATTGCTTTGTCTGAATGTAGAGTCTCTGGATTTTAATTGTACTCAATTCATTTCTCTCTTAAATTTGACATTTTCACAGTATGATATTACCAAGCGATACGTCACTGATGGGC